CTCCCCCCACCGCCCGCGTGCCAGCTGCGGCTCCCGGCGGCCTCGCCATGAGCCTGCTGCCGAGGAGCACCAAGGAGTTCGGTTCTGCCCAGTACTGGGAACGGTTCTTCCAGCAGCGAGGGGAGAAAGCCTTCGAGTGGTACGGGACCTACCTGGAGCTGTGCGGGGTGCTGCACAAGTATATCAAGCCCCGAGACAAGGTGAGCAGGGGAGGAGGGCACGGCGCGGCCGGTGCCAAGCAACTCTGGTTATCTTTCCGTGGCATAGGGCCTTGCCCCTCCCAATACCGTGGAGGAGGTGTAGCAGGCTCTGGGCTCTTTTGCTGGCCTGTGCACTGGGGTTGAAGTGATCGCTGCTTCATAACCACAGCTGGATGCAGCCCAGTAGCAAAACCGAGGGCTGGTTAGAAACCTAAAGTGGCCCCGACCCATTGGGGAATGGGAGGGCTCCCCACCACCCTCTCTGGGGTGGGTAGGAATCCCTAAGCTAGGAGGTAGCTTCAGGGCAGAGCCCTATGGGACCTTTTCACTGCATCCAGATAAGGATCCCTTTCAAGTTATCACCTGTTTTGCCCCTGCTGTGTTAATAGCCTATGCTGCTGTTGAAAGATGCTGACCAGCACCTAAACACTCATAACTCATCCTGGGAAACTTCTGGTAGGAGTAGGGGGTTCCAGGGAGGTGGCATGGATCCTCTTATCCTAGCCAAACTTTAATTCAGGTGCTTGTAGTCTGTCTGCTCAAGTTGGACCTGCAGTTGGGTTTCAGCTCTCTTCAGACGGCATATTCATTAAGTATTTCTGCCGCTCCAGTTTACCAATGGGGGTGTTTAAAATATACATGTTGGCTATGTTCTCTGTGGAGGTATGTGGTGAGTTGTCTCTTAATATGTTTATTGCAAAGACTTAGTTTGTAAGTGATGGGTAAATTTATCATCAGGGTTCCTGCTTTTCTCTGATTAAAAAAAATAAATTAATTAAAAAAATAAAAAGTCCCCTAATTTTTGGATTTTAAAAAAGTAACCCAAAATCCAAATTTTTCCATGATTAAAA